CAGGTTGGGGCGTGACAGAAGTCAACTCCCGGTCAAATCTATGAACTCTCCAATTTTTCAAATTGTTGACTTTCAATAAATAAAGCCAAAATCTTCTAGGAACATCCAAATTCAAATCTGAACATATGAAAAAGTCTAAAAGCACCATACAAATCTATTGAAACCATCAAATCTCGATTCTGAGGTCATTTACTAAAAACTTTAACTTTGGTCAACTCTTCCAACTTTAAGCTTCTAAATTGAGAATCACTCTTTCAAATCAATCCCGAATCACTCAAAAATCAAAACCAACTACACACGCAAGTCGTAATGCATAATATGAAGTAACTCAAGGTCTCAAACAACCGAACGGGATGCTAAATCTCACAACGACCTCCAGGGTCATTATGTTCTCTCCCACTTAAACATACGTTCGTCCTTGAGTGTGCCAATAATCGTTCCAATATTGTAAAATCGCAGTATAAACTCATCGTACATATCACCATGGGTGATATTATGTCAGCTTAATCCATATAAGTCTATCAACTCAATATTAACCGAAGATTCTTCCTTCACCCTTATCTTACAATCCTTAGAACTAAATTCCCACTTCTAGAACTTCCTCTAAGACTGATTCTTGTATATATACACTGTATCAATCTCAACAAGCCACATCAAGCCATAAATATACTTCAAAGATATAACGATGTAATATACCGCATAACTCATGCACTCATAGAAATATCTTCCGACAACAATAGCTTCTCATTACCAAATCTGCTACCGGTAGTATACCTCATATCAAATAAATTCTTGTTGCAAGCCTTTGCAACCCTGCTAATGATGAAAGAAACATGCAGAAATGCATAAGAACCCATCAAATCAACAAGTCGTGGAGTGCTCTCGCTCCATAATAATGTTTCGTGGTGCCGAATTAGTTTTTACATGTTAAGTATTATGCAAATTCTTGGCGAAGAGCTTCGCTCGCCGCCATTCAGACTTTTTTGGTTGAACAATGCATCCGAAAGTAAAGGAAATTGTTTGGTAGAATTACGCCTTTTTGCGGTCCATTATGCGACCGCAGAATCACTCTACGGACCACATAATGGCAGCAGAGTGAGGCATTTTTGGGTCAGTCTGGGAGCAATTATGTGGTCGACTATGCGGCCACATAACTGTTCTGCGGTGCATTATGTGATCGAAGAACAGTTATGCAGGCCGCATAGTGGCCGCAGACACAGACATATTTGTTTGGTTATTTTTGTCAGCAATTATGCGACCGATATGCGGTCTGCATAATGGTTATGCAATCGCATATGCGGTCACAGAACCTGTTCCAGATCTTCATTTTTGGGGTTTTTAACCCGACCCTATTTTGTTAAAACACACCCCATAGACCATTTTAAAAATATTTTCTGATATTTTTAGAGTGAGAGAGAGGGTCATAGAGAGAGAAGTGATCTCCATCAAATTATTCTTCAATTCTCACTTAAATCTTGAAGATTATCAAGAGAGGAACCTAGGTCTTCTTCCTAAGAGGTAAGATTCTATCACCCAAACTTTTAATTTCAAAGTGTAACTAGATTGGGCCAATAGTGAGGTAATTCATGGGGATGTGAGAGCTTACCTTGCATGCATGTATCCTTGTAGTATGTGGGAAGATTGTGAGCTAATAATGGTAGAGAGTGGGTTGGAAAATGATGGAATCTTCCACAAAAGAACCTTAAAACATTGATGCACACCTAGTGTTTTATAGTATGCTCAAATGAGCTAAAACCATGTTCATCTTCCTAATATTTGGTTCAATTTTTTTATATTGGTTAGATAGATTGAAGTTGCTAATGTTGCAGAACATCTTAGAGTTCAATTGAGGTATGTTGGCTAAATCCCCCCTTCTGCTTAGAATCGAATCCCATAGTGTTCATGTAATAAGAGTAAGTCCTTGATCATTATGGAATTGGCTTTTCCTAATGTGGTTGTGTTGAAGGATGTTTGTTCAATGTTTATGCTAAATGCTTCATCATATCATCTTTCCATTTGAGAATATGATCAAAATATGGAATATGTGTTACGAATGTTAAGACTTCAAGTCAAGATTGAAATAAAGGTTGTTTTGCCAAATTGTATGAAAGACCCCTATGTGCCAGAAATTGTGAATGAAATTGTGGAAATGTTTCCAAATGAGATGGCCTAGACGATCGGGCCGAGATCGGACTCCGTGTAAGAACACAATTGTATTATGAATGGAATTGTGGTAATGTCTCAAATGAGATGGCCTAGCCGATCGGGCCGAGATTGGACTTCATGTAAGAACACAGTGGTATTGTGAATGAAATTGTGGTAATGTCTCAAATGAGATGGCCTAGCCGATCGAGACGCGATCAGACACCATGTTGTACACATGGTGGTGTTGTGTTGAAACGTTATAATGAAATTATGGTAATATCTCAGATGAGGCGGCCTAGCCGAATGGGCCGAGATCGGAATCCGTGTAAGAGTATGGAGGTATGGTGAATTGTGGAATATCGGTACTAAAGGTCACACAACCTAGTAATACGAAAATTGTCTTGAAAATGTATATGATCCTTAATTTGTTGTTTTATGATTATTTGAAGCCTTTATTGAAATCTTGACTGTTCCTCTTGTATTATTATTCATTCTATTGAGTTGGTGTTTGGCTATATATACTAGTGCTATTCGACGGTACTAACATCCCTTTTGCTGGGGGCTCTGCATCTTTAAATGCATGCAGGTGGTTACATAGCAGATATTGCGGATCACAGATAGTGTTGCACCCTCACTTTTTGAGGTGTAGCCGGGGCCTTGTTGCCCGCACCATCTTTACTCTCTTTTGTATCTTTAGAGGCTCCGTAGACACTATGTGGGTTGTATATATGGATGTTGGGAATGTTAAACAAGTTATGTTGTGTTTGATCACTTGTTCCACTTGACTTACAAGAAATATGTATTTTGAGACTTAAAGGCGCAATGACTAGTGAAATGATTTAGGATTGTATGAATGAGATTCCTACTATACAATTAATGTAATCATGTCTTTTCTTGATCATGGGTTAATTGGGTAGAAAGTATCTAACAGGCTTTCTCATCCGGGTTCACTCAGTTGAGCGCCGATCACGCTTCCCGAGGATTGGGCATGACAAACTTGGTAATAGAGCCTAAGGTTTTAAAGTGTCCTAGGATATCTCAGAGCCGTGTCTGGTAGAGTCATTCTTATCGGTGTGTTGTCGACCACATCTATAAGTTGGAGGCTACACGGACATTTAGGAACAATACCCTTCTTTGATATTCTAGATATTGCGATGAAACTAAATGTGCAACTGTTCCTCTGCTAACTCGTGCATTCTTTTAACTTTCAGTATATGGCACCTAAGAAAAGAGTAAGAACTGGCCAAGAAGCCAACGCCGCCTTAGGAGTGGCAGTTGACCCTTTATTTGATGATGTGGGTGAATACCCGAGGGGTGAGGATAATCCCCCGACTGCTACACTTCATGATTCCACTACACCGGCCCAGGCCATACCAGTTCCTACACCTACTGAGGGTGCGACGGTTCCACCACCTTGCATTCCGATTCCACCTCCAGCCTCAGCTTCCGGCTCTGGTATTTCTGATGGAGATCTTAGGGGAGCTATTCAGATGCTGACTCAGATATTGGCTTCTCAGGCCCAAAGATCGAATGTTGCACCTACATCTTCTAGCCAGCAAGGGGATTCAACTAGTTCTAGGGTGAACAGATTTCTATAGTTAGATCCTCCGGTGTTCACGGGTGCTAATCCCAAGGAGGACTCACAGGACTTTATTGATGATATGTATAAGACTCTCTAGATTATGCGCGCTACTGAGACGGAGGGAGTGGAGTTGGCCGCCTACCGCCTGAAAGGGAGGGCCTATTCTTGGTTTGAGATATGGGAGGACTCTCGGGAGGAGAGGAGCCCTCCAGCGAGATGGGGTGAGTTTGCTGATGCCTTTAAAGACCTTTTCTTGCCTGCTGAGACTAGGGAAGCCCGTGACGCAGAGTTTGAGAATCTTAAACAAGGGAGTATGAGTGTGTGAGAGTATCACATGGAGTTCGCGCGCCTGTCAAAATATGCCATTCTCATGTTGCCTACTATGGAGGCTAGAGTGCGCCGGTTTGTGCAGGGCCTTAGCCCCTTGGTTATCAATGAGGCTGCTACAACTTCCTTGAATTTAGACATGAACTATGGGAAAATGGTAGCATTTGCTCAAGCTCCAGAGGACCGCAAGTGTAAGAACAAGAGCGAGCGAGAGGGTACCGACAAGGCTCAGTCCGCGGGCAACTTTGGGGAGTCATTTGATGGGGGGAGATCAGCTTTCACGGGAGGGTCATCAGGGTCAACCCAGTCTCATGCTCAATCTTCAACCAGTGCACTGCCAGTGGGGCACCGTCAGCAGCAGGGGAGTCACTTCAGGCCCAATCAGGGCAGTAGGGGACCCTACCATCCGGGCTGATCAAGAGGGAGATTTTCGCAGCAGCGGGGGCTCCCATACCCCAGGTGTGGGAAGATGCACCCGGGGATTTGCTACATGGACTTACCTATATGTTACGGGTGTAGATTGAGGGATCATATTCAGAGGGAGTGCCATTCATCCCGCCAGGGTGCGGGTAGGGGTAAAACACAGCCATCCAGTTTTGCAGCTGCTACATCTTCAACACCCCCATCTAGCACGAGGCACGCCGGCACCAGCATGGCGTGATGCATCTAGGGGTTGTGCGCAGAGTTCAGGAGAACCCATCCATTTCTATGCTATGAATGGTCGCCAGAGTGCTGTGGCTTCTCCAGAGGTCATCATAGGTATATTGACCGTCCAAACTCATGATGTATATGCTCTTATTGATCCCGTTCCACCTTGTCCTATGTTACCCCTTTTGTTGCTACAGAATTTGGGATAGAACTGAAACAGCTTCATGAGCCGTTCTCTATATCTACTCCGATTGGCAAGTCTATTGTGGTCGCACGCATTTATAGGGGTTGTGTTATCATGGTGCACGGTAGGGACACCGTGTCCGATCTCATTGAATTGGGGATGGTTGATTTTGATGTAATTATGGAAATGGATTGGCATTATTCATATTTTGCTAAGCTCGACTGCCAAACTAGAACTGTGAGGTTTGAATTTCCTAATGAACCGGTTATTGAATGGAAGAGGGATAATGTGATGCCAAAAGGTAGGTTTATTTCTTACCTTAAGTCCACGAAGATGATTAACAAGGGGTGTATCTATCACTTGGTCCGGGTTACGGACACCACTGCTGAGGCACCTACACTCGAGTCAGTGCCAGTTGTGAATGAATTTACAGAGGTCTTTCCTGATGAGCTCCCTGGGATTCCGCCAGATAGGGAGATTGATTTTGGGATTGATGTGATACCAGGCACGCAACCTATATCTATTCCGCCCTACAGAATGGCACCAACAGAATTGAAGGAACTAAAGGAGCAGTTGAAGGATTTGTTGGAGGAGGGTTTCATCCGACCGAGTGTGTCGCCATGGGGCGCACCGGTTTTTTTTGTGAGGAAGAAAGATGGATCACTGAGGATGTGTATTGACTACCGGTAGCTCAACAAAGTCACAATCAAAAACAAATACCCACTACCAAGAATAGATGATTTGTTTGATCAGTTACAGGGTGCTAGATACTTCTCCAAAATTGATTTACGATCCGGGTATCTCCAACTGAAGATCAGGGAGTAGGATATTCCGAAAACATCTTTGAGGATCCGGTATGTGCATTTTGAATTTCTGGTAATGTCTTTTGGGCTAACAAATGCCCCAACGTCTTTCACAGATCTTATGAATCAGGTTTTCAAGCCTTTCCTCGACTCCTTTTTGATAGTGTTCATTGATGACATTCTTGTGTATTTACGAGGTCGGGAGGACCATGTTGATCATCTTAGGGCAGTGTTGCAGACTTTTCATTAGCACCAATTGTATGTAAAGTTTTCAAAGTGTAAATTTTGGCTCGAATCTGTCACATTCTTAGGTCATGTTGTCTCTAGAGAAGGAATCAAGGTTGATCCTCAAACGATTTCAGCAGTAAAGAATTGGCCTAGACCTACAACGCCCACCGAGATTCGCAGTTTTTTAGGCTTAGCAGGGTATTACAAGAAGTTTGTGGAGGGGTTCTCTACTCTTGCTTCTCCATTGACTAAATTGACTCAAAAAACAGTTAAGTTCCAATGTCCCGATGCTTGTGAAAGGAGCTTCCAGGAGTTAAAATCGAAATTGACATCAACGCCGGTGTTGACCTTGCCAGAGGGTACATATGAATTTGTGGTATATTGCGATGCTTTAAGAATTGGGCTTGGGTGTGTATTAATGCAACACGGCAAAGTTATAGCATATGCTTCTAGGTAACTCAGGAATCATGAAAATAACTATCCAACACATGACTTAGAACTTGCGGCGGTGGTTTTTGCATTGAAAATTTGGCGTCACTATTTGTATGGGAGCCATGTGGATGTATTCACGGACCACAAGAGTCTTCAATATATTTTCAAACAAAAGGAGCTGAATCTGAGGTAGAGAAGATGGCTTGAGTTACTCAAGGATTACGACATCAATATTCTATATCACTCGGGGATAGCAAATGTTGTGGCGAATGCTCTTAGACGGAAATCTATGGGTAGTTTAGCACACTTTGAGGTATATCGAAGGCCATTGGCCAAGGAAGTCTATCGACTGGCTAGTTTGGGAGTTTATCTTATGGACTATAATGAAGGAGGGGTAATTGTGCAAAATAGGGCAGAATCATCGCTTGTTCTGGAAGTCAAAGAGAAGCAATACAACGATCCATTTTTGGTGCAATTGAAGGAGGGTATTCAAAAACATAAGACTACAACTTTTTCTCTTAGCATGGATGATGGTACACTAAGGTACCAAGGGCGACTATGTGTTCCGAATGTAGATGGTCTCCGGGAATGAATCATGACCGAAGCTCACGCTTCTAGGTATTCCGTGCATCCAAGTTCTACGAAGATGTAACACGACCTCAAGGAAGTCTATTGGTGAAATGACATGAAAAGGAATGTGGCGGAATTTGTGGCAAGGTGTCCGAACTGTCAGCAAGTGAAGGCTGAACATCAACGGCATGGTGTGTTGGTACAGAACATAGAAATTCAATGTGGAAGTGGGAGATGATTAATATGGATTTTGTGGTAGGATTACCATGCACTCCACGCAAGTTTGACTCAATTTAGGTGATCGTGGACTAACTCACGAAATCAACATACTTCTTGCCAGTTAAATCTACCGACACAACGGATTAGTATGCTCAGTTGTATATCAAGGAAATAGTCAGGCTACATGGAACTCCAGCTTCTATCATTTTCGATCGAGGGGCTCAGTTCACGACCAATTTTTGGAGGAAATTTCAGCAAGGTTTGGGTACTCAGGTGAATCTTAATACAACTTTCCATCCACAGACTGACGGGCAAATAGAGCGGACTATTTATATGCTTGAGGACATGTTGCGTGCTTATGTTCTTGATTTCAAGGGTAGCTGGGATGATCATTTGCCACTCATAGAGTTTGCTTATAACAGCAACTTTCATGCAAGTATCTATATGGCATTGTTTGAGGCATTATATGGTAGGATATGTAGATCTCCCATTGGGTGGTTCGAGATTGGGGAAGCAGGGTTGATAGGGCCAGGCCTTGTACATCAGGCTATGGAAAAATTTAAGATCATAAAGGAGCAGTTGAAAACTATTCAGAGTCATCAGAAATCCTATTCGGATGTTCATCGCAGAGAATTAGAGTTCAAAGAAGATGATTGGGTATTCTTGAAGGTTTACCCCATGAATGGTATTATGCAGTTTGGTAAAAAGGGGATATTGAGTCCGAGGTATGTCGTGCAGTACTAAATCATTCAGAGAATCGGTGAGGTGGTGTACAAACTTGAGCTACCACCTGAGATGTCATTAGTACACTCGGTGTTCCATGTGTCTATGTTGAAGAAAGTTGTTGGAGATTCGTCACGCATTGTTCTGGTTGAGACCATCGAGGTTAATGAAGAATTGTCATATGAAGAGATTCCAGTTGCCATTCTTGATAGGCAAATCCGAAAGTTGAGGAATAAATAAATTGCCTCCGTGAAAGTGTTTAGGCGAAACTAGCAGGTTGAAGAGGCCATGTGGGAGGCCGAGGAAGAGATGAAGAAGAAGTATCCTCACTTGTTTGAATAGTTGTGTAATCCTTTCTTTTACGAACATGTCACCTAAGAAGTTCGTATCACTTGTTCAGTTAATGTAAAGATGCTCATTTTGGTTATATGTTGTTTACATGAGGCCAAGGTTGGTGTGGTTATGAGTTATGCTATGTCGTTGGGTTCTATACATGTTTGTAAGATGTGTTTCTGGCGCTCTCTGACAGGTGGATAGGCCTAGTTACAAACGAAACTCTGGCAATGTTTTTGAGAATTTAGGGAGTTAGTCAAATTTGGGGCTGCTGGTGTGTGGTATGACAACTGAGTTGCATAAGATGCTAATACTAAATTTTTACCCTCTTTCGAGGACGATATGCGGTCCACATAATGGTAATGCGATCGCATATGTGATTGTAGAACCTATTCCGGAGCTTCATTTTTAAGGTTTTAAACCCGACCTTATTTCGTTAAAACACACCCCATGGACCATTTTGAACATATTTTCTGATATTTTTAGAGTGAGAGAGAGGGTCCTAGAGGGAGAAGTGATCTTCATCAAATTGTTCTTCAATTATCACTTAAATCTTGAAGATTATCAAGAGAAGAACCTAGGTCTTCTTCCTAAGAGGTAAGATTTTATCACCCAAACTCTTAATTTCAAAGTGTAACTAGATTGTGCCATTAGTGAGGTAATTCATGGGGATGTGGGTGCTTACCTTGCATACATGTATCCTTGTAGTATGCGGGAAGATTGTGAGCTAATAATGGTAGATAGTGGGTTGGGATATGATGGCATGTTCCACCAAAGAGGATTAAAACATAGATGCACACCTAGTGTTTGATAGTATGCTCAAATGAGCTAAAATCATGTTCATCTTCCTAATTTTTGGTTCAATTTTGTTATATTGGTTAGATAGATTGAAGTTGCTAATGTTGCAGAACATCTTAGAGTTCAATTGAGGTATGTTGGCTAAACCCCCCTTCTTCTGAGTAAGTCCTTGATCATTATCGAATTGGATTTTCCTAATGTAGTTGTGTTGAAGGATGTTTGTTCAATGTTTATGCTAAATGCTTCATCATGTAATCTGGCCATTTGAGAATATGTTCAAAATGTGGAATATGTGTTAGGAATGTTAAGATTTCATGTCAAGATTGAAATAAAGGTTGTTTTGCCAAATTGTATGAAAGACCCCTATGTGCCAGAAATTGTGAATGAAATTGTGGAAATGTCTCCAAATTAGATGGCCTAGCCGATCGGGCCGAGATCGGACTCCGTGTAAGAACACGGCAGTATTGTGAATGGAATTTTGGTAATGTCTCAAAAGAGATGGCCTAGCCGATCGGGCCAAGATCGGACTCCGTGTAAGAACACGGTGGTATTGTGATGAAATTGTGGTAATGTCTCAAATTATATGGCCTAGCCGATCGGGCCGTGATCCGATACCATGCCGCACACATGGTGGTACTGTGCTGGAAAGTTATAATGAAATTGTGGTAATGTCTCAGATGAGGCGGCCTAGCCGATCGGGCCGAGATCGGACTCCGTGTAACAGTACTGGGGTATGGTAATTTGTGGAATATCGGTACTAAAGGTCACCCAACCTAGTAATACGGAAATTGTCTTGAAAATGTATATGATCCTTAATTTGTTGTTTTACTATTATTTGAAGCCCTTATTGAATTCTTGACTGTTCCTCTTGTATTATTATTCATTCTATTGAGTTGGTGTTTAGCTATACATACTAGTGTTATTCGACTTTTCTAAAGTTCCTTTTTGCCGGGGGCACCGCATCTTTAAATGAATGCAGGTGGCTACATAGCAGACAATGCGGATCACAGATAGTGCTGCACCCTCCTCTCCGCGGACTCGGTGAGCCCCATTTCATTCTGGGGTCATGTATTGTACCTTTTGTTTATATTATGGTCACTTTTTGAGGTATAGCCGAGGCCTTGTTGCTGGCACTATCTTTCCTCTCTTTTGTATCTTTAGAGGCTCCGTAGACACTATGTGGGTTGTATATATGGGTGTTGGAAATGCTAAACAAGTTATGTTGTGTTTGATCACTTGTTCCACTTGAACTATAAGAAATGTGTATTTTGAGACTTAAAGGCGCAATGACTAATGAAATGATTTAGGATTGTATGAATGAGATTCCTACTGTATAATTAATGTAATCACGTCTTTTCTTGATCATGGGTTAATTGGCTAGAAAGTATCTAATAGGCTTGCTCGACCGGGTTCACTCGGTTAAGTGCCGGTCGCGCTTTCCAAGGATAGGGCGTGACAGATAGAGAACCAAATAAGAGAACTATCCAACAAATTCAACAGATATAACAACAAAATCATCATGCCATGAACCCATCCCACTAGGGAGAAACAAGATACATAGAATAAGCACAAGGAATTGTATCCAATCAAAACTCCGTTGCAGCGACGTAGCCTAATACAAACATATCAATACGTATGGAATACACATCGAGCCATAATGGTCAAAATCAGCAAACACGTTTGTATCAAAAACAAGCACGTAAAGTGCATAAACATAACCGTAGGGAGACGGATAGCCTAATGCGATACGAAGAAGGTAAGCACGCCTAAGGTGCATTAAGCAGATCAACATCCCAAGATCCATCTCGCTCATATATAGCCACAAGGCCTAAATAGAACCACAATATGTGTGTGAATAATTATGTTGTCTCGCAACCCATCATATCTTAAAAGAATAATACATGAAATAGATCATGGCATGAATAAGATGAGTTCCACCTGATGACACATCATAACAAATGTGTGCCAAGTAAGCAAATCCATTCCAATGTACACATTCTCACTAGGCCTACCAATAGGCCCCCAAGCCAACTCAAAACATTCAGAAATAGGTAAATAGCCTTCCAAAAGTCCATAGTGACCCTATCCATGACACATACCATTAGCTGTCAAACCCTGAGCACACTTTCACAGCCCGCAACCGGAAGGATAGTCATCCTAAAGAAAATCAAATCTCCAAACATCGAGAATACAAGAATCTCCATACCTGGCCTCTAACTCTCCCACTTAAATGACTGCCACATCATGCATGCACAATTTCATCTTGAGAATTACTTTCATAAATCTTCCGCATCAAGTAGCAAACCTGGATATCAACATTGATCAACCATGCGATTATGTGGTACTAGTCAACCATCCGCTAGTCAATTAACAATGCGTCTTCTACAACGTGCACCCTTCTCAAGCAATACAAGATAGTGCTATCATTCCCTCAAACTTCTGAATTATCTCATGCTATCTAGAATTCATGACCTTTCCTTCAAAACTATCACGACCCAAAATCCCACCGTAAGGGTCGTGATGGAACCTAGTACCTAAGACTAGTTAAGCTTATCACATGACAATATTGGACAAAATATAACAACTTCAAAATGTAAATAAAAGCAATGAAAAGCCATAATGTAGCCAAAACAGAGATACAACGTTCATCATCCCAAAACCTGGTAATACTGAGTCATAAGCTCTTAATGAATACATAAGAAGTCTCAAAAGAACATCATTGTTTGAGATACATAAACAATATTAAAGTAAATAAAAGAGGGCGATTCCGAGGCCTACGAGCGGCATCTCAGGTATACCTTGAAGTCTCCAATAGCTCTAGAACAACTCTGTAATGACCAGCACAATTTGAGGTACCTGGATCTGCACAAAGAATATGCAGAAGCGTAGTATGAGTACACCATAGTCACTATCCAATAAGTATCAAGACTAACCTCGGTGGAGTAGTGACGAGGTTCACGTCAAGACACTCACTAGTCAAATAGCATGTGCAAGATATCAACATAAAACTGATAAGAAAAGCATAACAGAAAAAATATTAGCAACCTCAGAAAAAGTGTAATAAAAACTCATTGTGGAAATACCCGTTTTGCCAACAAATTACGATGGGGATAGGGCATGTGATATCATATCAAAATCAACTGACGTTTCACAAAAACACAAGCCGGAAACATGTAAGAAACAAGTGTGAGATCGAAATAATAACCCCGGTTCTAACACATGAATAATAACAAGAATCACCCCGATATATCTCATAACATTCTTAACAAGCCACCTTATGTCGTCGCATGCACATAAACAATGGAATGCCACCCTTATTTCGCTGCATGCACATAAATAGTAACCCTTATCTCGCCGCATGCACATCATAATGAAATGCCTCCCTTATGTTGCCGCCTGCACATCTCATTCACAACACTACTATCAACCCGCACAACACATGTACATGTGCCACAATATCACCAAAATAACAATACCAAAGTCACAACAAGATATAGCCCACAACTCAACAACAAAGTGCACAAGAATCATAACAATAACATAAGAGTGCAGGGTGTATTCCACAACAAAGCATGTAACATATAACAAACAATCCCAATTCAACGTATATTAATAGCTCAAGGTCTAATCCAATCATTAAAAACACATACGCCTATGTACACACTCGTCACCTCATGTATACGTCATTTCACATAGCACAAATAGTGCAAATTAGATAATTTTCTAACGGAAAATTCCCCCACAGAAGGTTAGGCAATATAATTACCTCAAATAGCCCCAATCAATACTCCAAAAAATGCTCATACTTTAAAATTCACCTCCGCACGACTCAAATCTATCAAAAAAGACCTAATAATATCAAACAATGCAAGAGAAATCAATTTTGATTAATAAAGTTAAGATCTTTACACAATTCCCAAAAAGTCAATAAAGGTTAATCCTGGGCTCGCTCGGTCAAAACCCAAGTCGAAGGGTATATCTCGACTACCCATATCCCTACGAATCCAAATATATGTTTGGTTTTCTAATTTTAGTTCAATTCGACTCTCAAATCTCAATTTCTTATTTTTCAAAACATAGTTAAAAATTTCCAAAATTTCTCTTCAATTCTCATGGAATAGATGTTAAAATTCATAAATAATCATGTTATAATATCAAAATTGAGTCAAAATCACTTACCAAATAGCTTTGTATGAAAATCCCTCCTAAAATCACCTCCCACCCAGTCTAGGGCTCAAAATGTGATAAAATGAGACTAAGTCCTGAAATCTCATCTTTTGTTCAGTTGCAGAAGTCGCAAATACGACCCGGGGTTCGCAAATGCGAACCCTTGCAAATGCAACCAAATGATCGCCAATACGATGCCTGCCGAGCCCAGGAAATGTCGCAAAAGTGACACAAACTTTGCATTTGTGAAGTTAGTCCCCTTCGCAAAAGCGACTCCTTGATC